CCTCCGGGCTCTGTCTGCCATGCCCTTTGGCGAGTGGCTGGTGGCACGGCCAGGCTGGGGCCCCCCCCCACCTCTCCTATCACCCAAGCACCCAACCTCTGGTGGGACTCCTCCTCAGCTCAGCTCCAGGGTGGGTGCCCCTGGCCAGGGTCTCTCCCCACGGCACCCTGGTCCCGGGGGGAAGTGGGAGGTAGTGGAGCCCTTTTTTGGGCCCTTTTTGGGGCGCAGGGGCCAGCAAGGCGGGGGGGTGGGGGGCCAGGCCCGGCCTTTAATATCCTGTTTGACTGGTTCGCTTGGCTCAGCTGCAGAAAAACATTTGCAAACATCCCGGAGGAGCCGGGGAGCGTTTAACCCCTGCCTGGCTGCACCCCAGGCTGGGGGCTGGCCCCCCTGCTGCCCCCCAGCCCCCCTAGTTGCCCTGTGCTGGAGGGTGGGGATGGGGCTGATCCTGGCACCTCCTGGGTAATCCTGGGGGGGTGGAGGGAGACAGATTTGGGTCCTGGGAGGCAGGAGGGTGTTGGCATGTCCCATGGGATTTTGACGTACAGGAAGGGGGGAGCAGGCAAATCCCACGAGGTTTTAGGGTGCAAGGGGAGGGGGGTGGGAAGGCATGTACCACAAGGTTTTAGGGTATGGGGGTCCCTGTCCATATCCCCTGGGGTGGTGGAGCTGTTCCAGCATGTGGTGGCTGGGGGGTCTGCCTGTTGTGGGGACCCTCAGAGATGTCTCTGATGTCCCCATCGAGGGGCCCTGGGGTGCTGGCTGAGTGCCACCACGCCTGTCCTCTCCTGGGGGGCCAAGCCTTTGGCTCTGGGGCAGTGGGCACAGCAGGCGAGCCCCGGACTGTGCACAAGTGTGTGCCCATGCGTGTGGATTAGTGTGCAGCACTGCCCCCCTCCCCCCCAGGACTGCACCGCGCCGGCCCTGCCGACACCATCAGTGCCCGCTCGGGGGGCTCCCGGGAGCCCAGCTTTTTTCTTGTCCCTTTTTTTTTTGTTTTGTCTTTTTTTTTTCCTTGTTTTTTTTGTTCTGCCTGAATTCCACATCATCTCCGTGGCCTGGAAATGTCAAGTTGCATCTTCCCAGCTCGCGTCCTCTCCCTGCCGGCCTCGCGTGACCTGGCCCCATGGCCGGGCAGGGCTGGGCAGTGCAGAGGGAGGTGGTGGGATCACCGGGCCTGGGACCAGCCCTGGCACTATTGGGGGGTGCGGGGGGGGTTCCCCTGGCACCAGCCCTGCCCAGAGGCCTCTGTGCCCTGAGCGCTGTTGCTTTTCCTGCAGCCGTGGAGACGCAGAGCACCAGCTCGGAGGAGATCGTGCCCAGCCCGCCCTCGCCCCCACCCCTGCCCCGCATCTACAAGCCCTGCTTCGTCTGCCAGGACAAGTCCTCGGGGTATCACTACGGGGTGAGCGCCTGCGAGGGCTGCAAGGTGAGAGCTGCCAGCACCTGCCCTGGAGGTACCGGCCCTGTGGGTCCCCGGGGTCCCCAGGCCACGGGCTGACCGGGGTGTGCGGGGTCCCCAGGGCTTCTTCCGCCGCAGCATCCAGAAGAACATGGTGTACACGTGTCACCGGGACAAGAACTGCATCATCAACAAAGTGACGCGCAACCGGTGCCAGTACTGCCGCCTGCAGAAGTGCTTCGAAGTTGGCATGTCCAAGGAGTGTGAGTGCACATGGGAATGGGATGGGGACGAGGTGGGGATGGGATGGGCGTATGGACAGGGTGGGGACAGGGCTGGGGACACGCTGCCTGGGCACAGCCAGTGGTGGAGGATCGGGGTGTGGTGGGCCATCCCAGCAGCCCCCTCGGTGCTCCCAGCAAGGCCCTGGGGTGGGATAGAGGGGCCCCTGGGTGTGTGTCCCAGCCGGGCTGTTGCCTGGGCAATGCGTGACTCTAACGAGGCCTCTTTGTGTCTGCTGCCAGTTGTCATGGTGCCCGGCTGTACCCCCCAGGCGCGGGGTGGTCGGGGGTGGGTGGCAGGGGGCGATGGCTGCTGGGGCACAGCTGCCTCCCTGAGTCCAGCCCCATCTGCCTGCCCCATGGGGCCTGAGCCCCCTGGGAGGTTGGGGCTGGTGGATGATGGGAGGGGGGTTGGGCACTGCCAGAGTTGTTCAGCATCCCAGGGGCTGCAGCTTGCCCAGCTCCTGAAGGGAGGGAGTCTTGGCCCCTCCTGGCCCACATAGGCTTATATCCCTGTGGGGTGGGGGCTGGGGCTCCCCCCGCCCCCAGCCTGCCCTGTGATGCACACGGGGGCTCAGCTGCCATTTTCTCTCCCTAGTGTTTTTCTCCACTGAGTCAGGTTTGCAGCACAGAGCTGAGCTCTGTCCCCATGGGCAGGGCTGTGCCCCCCTGACCCTGGTGCATTGTCACCCCTAATTGCCTCCTAGTGATTGGGGGGGCTTATTTATTTAGCAGCTGGTGGCAGGGTCCTCATCCTGCCCTGGGGGGACAGAGCACACTGGGGCTGAGCCCTGCCCTGGGCAGGAACTGGGGGCAGCGGGGCTGGGTGATGCTGACCCTGATGTCCCTGTAGCCGTCCGCAATGACCGGAACAAGAAGAAGAAGGACGTGCCCAAGCCGGAGTGCTCAGAGAGCTACATCATCACACCGGAGGTGGAGGAGCTCATTGAGAAGGTGCGCAAAGCCCACCAGGAGACCTTCCCTGCCCTCTGCCAGCTCGGCAAATACACTACGGTGAGTGTTGTGGGGTCCTGGGGGAGCTGGGCAGCAAGGAAGCCCCTCCCTGTGCCCTCACCCCCTGCCTCCTGCTGCAGAACAACAGCTCAGAGCAGCGGGTCTCCCTGGACATCGACCTATGGGACAAATTCAGTGAGTTGTCCACCAAGTGCATCATCAAGACGGTGGAGTTTGCCAAGCAGCTCCCCGGCTTCACCACACTCACCATCGCAGACCAGATCACCCTCCTCAAAGCTGCCTGCCTCGACATCCTGGTGAGCATGGGTCTGGGGATGTGGATGGGGATGGGGAGAGGGAGAGGGCACCAGGCTGAGCCCCCTGCCCTCGCCCCCCCAGATCCTGCGGATCTGCACGCGCTACACGCCGGAGCAGGACACCATGACCTTCTCAGACGGGCTGACCCTGAACCGCACCCAGATGCACAACGCGGGGTTCGGGCCCCTCACCGACCTGGTCTTCGCCTTTGCCAACCAGCTGCTGCCGCTGGAGATGGACGACGCCGAGACGGGGCTGCTCAGCGCCATCTGCCTCATCTGCGGAGGTGGGTGCTGGGGGGCACCCCAGCAGGCCCCCGCCCCTGGCCTCCCCAAACAAGTGGCCAAGAAGACCCTGCACAGCCACCCCAGTGACCCCCTTGGGGCCCAGGACAAGGAGCTGAATCACATCCCATGCCCATGGGGTGGAAGGGGAAATGACACGATGCATGCTGCCCCCCCATTAACCACTGTCTCCCCACCCCAGACCGCCAGGATCTGGAGCAGCCTGACAAAGTGGACAAGCTGCAGGAGCCGCTGCTGGAGGCACTGAAGATCTACGTGAGGAAGAGGAGGCCCAACAAGCCCCACATGTTCCCCAAGATGCTCATGAAGATCACAGATCTCCGCAGCATCAGCGCCAAGGGTGAGCACTGGGGAGGGGGCAGCCACCTGCCTGTGGTTCCGTGTCCTGGGAGAATCTGGGGGGGGAGCTTTGGGTGATCCAGGTCACACAGTGTCCTCCGGAGGGGCCAAGGGAGAGGATACCCACAGCACCCATCCTCCAGGGACACTGGTGACCTGGCCATGTCCCTTTTCCTCAGCACCCAGGGATGAGCAGAGCCAGGGGTTCCGGTTTGGGGGTGCTGGTTTGGGGGGCTCCAGCAGTGCCCTGACCCTAACCCTTCCCACAGGCGCCGAGCGGGTGATCACGCTGAAGATGGAGATCCCGGGATCAATGCCACCCCTCATCCAGGAGATGCTGGAGAACTCGGAAGGCATGGACACACTGGGGG